CTAGATAAAGGGTAGTTGGGTATATAAAAGAGAGTGACAACGTTGCAGAGAAGGTAATGTGTGTGTAGACAGTGAGTGATTGATCTGCAGTCAGAAGTATTATTGAGCACGTTCGTTGTTATAGCGTTTGTTTAGCGCGATTGTTGAAGTTGAGTGTATCGGTAAAGTTATATTCGGAAAGAATAAACCAGTTTTATTAAGAAAGGACTTGTGTCGCTTAAGTTTCGTCGGAACGAAGTTACGGAAAATCAATTAACAAACGGAGACGTAACATGCAGTAATAATAAGGTCATCCTGTTGGATTTATTATCCAATACATTTCATATTCCCAGAAAAAAGTAAGTCAATCATCGGACCTCAGCCAACTAATACAAAATTAGGGAACAAATTATATGGTACATAAGAAATGCAAACTTTCTATTAATTGTTTACATTTATGTCTAAATTTGTTTTGTGTGGTTAATATATCGTAAGTATATTAAGTAATTTAAGTTGACTATGGCAACTTTTAGTCACGCTTTGGTTTAATTGCACATACGTGATTTTATTCGTTTTACTTTTCCAACATAAATTATAACAACATGAGATTGTTTGATTTTGATGTTATAACCTAAAATACTCTTAAGTGTTTTAATAGCATGCCATAGACTGTTAAAATTAATTATCCATTATTACTCAGCAGACTAATTGGTTATTAATATACTTTTTAATTTCTTTTCTTCGCCAAAACGTGAGTTTCAGTGAAATAAAGATGTAAAGGTCTAACCTATTTTTTGATTCGCTACTTCCGCTGCCTCAAACTCGTTTCGCTGAAATCAAGGTTCATCAATGCTACTTGGAAGAGGGAAGCGAATAAATTTGGTTACAGCATACTTGATGTAAAAAAAAAAAGAAGAAATCATTCATATATATTATATTTCAAAAATGCTTTCTCTAGAATATATACCACTTGCATTAAATACAAGCATAAGGCAGTTTATTAACCAAGTAAATAAGTAAGTATAAACATTTTTCTGTTAATAAACACTAGATAGTTTTTATATATAGAATTTTGTATACTTTTAAGTATTAGTAGATTAGTGCCAGGTGTCATAAGCAACATTCGTTGCAGTCTTTTCTGATAATTTTCATTCAAAAATAATAAACTAGCTGTTTTTATCACAGTTGAAAGTTCATTATTTATCTATAATATAAGGCGTGACTCAGTTGTAGAAGCACGTACAAGCTGATGAAATCACGTGCCATCTTGCGCATAATTTAAGTGGTTAGCGTCAAGCACATGTATTGCGTCACACATGATTGCTCGTGGTAACACAAAAACTTAGTTAACATTTGTAATTAGAGGATAAGTTTTTGGATGGGTCGAGAAATTATCCAATCTTGCAGAAACGACAAACATTTTATGGATGACCACGGCTTCACTCGAAAGATCAAAGGGCACGTGGCAATATGCAGCACCACAGTAGAAGGTAGGCGGTGACATTTGATTCTTCTAAAAAGTATCCGTATGTACTGTATTATCGCTGGGCTTGTTAAAATGAACAATGTATATATAACTTAAGCCACATTGTTCGTTGGAAATTTTGTTAGAGTTTTTAGTAACTACAAAGTTATATTGATTGATTTTCGTTCAAAACCAGAACCTTTCATTAGGAACGTAAAACTGATAATTTGGAAAAAAAACTTGCCTGAGTCAAATTACGAGAAAACTCCAATAACTTCATATTGAATGCGGAAATACATTCCATGACGTACACTTCAAGTCACTGACTAAATATGTAACGTTATATAGATGTATTTGTTTTATTTGTAAAATAATAATTTAATAGTGTGATTTAATTGTCATGGCAGATGCTGTTCATAATTTTGTTTGTGTTACACATTTCTCAACTAATTTAGAAAATAAATAACGCATGGAAGAAAAGTTAGACCATTCAATTAGCCAACTAAAGAGTATGATTAATAAATGTTATAAGTAATTTAATAAAGTTATAAAAACACAAATACCGGGATCCTCCTTGCCTTGTATGCAGAAAATGACACAAACAGACTGCTTGCTAATCTAGAAAAACAAATACGGTTCAAGTGAATGTCAACTCGTATTGCTAGAAAAATTTATATATTTACTATATAAATTTATCATAAAATAATTAATAAAAAATTATATGTACGTACATATGTATTTCCTTTTTTATATTTTAAGTAATTAATCGATGTAGTACTAACATTGCAGTTACACGCAAGCAATGTTGGATCATCTCGATGTCAGTTTGGCATAGCCTAATACTTAGGACGCTTGACTCGAAATTTGTGGGTCACGGGTTCGAATCCCATTACCGAATATGTTAATATTTTCTTTTGTTGGGGCTTTAAAATGTAATGTGGTGATAAATCCTACTACTCACTGATAAAAGAGTAACTCAAGAGTTGGCGGTGGGTGGTGTTGACGAATTACCTTCTCTTTAGTCTATCATCTCTAAATTAGTGATTGTTATTGCAGATAGTTTTAGAGTAACTTTGCGCGAAATTCGACAAGCAAACCTCTTAATACCTGTCTTGCAAGTCATAATTCTATAAGTAAAGTAGGGATATCACAACAGAAAGTATGTGACTTAAAAAGTTCACAAATTACCAGTATTTATAACAATCGTAAAGCATAGCAACAAATACGTAGCTAATCTTAACATTGTATGCAAGTATTCTTAGATTTCTTTTAAAACTAAATAAATGGTTCAAACACCTTAGAATAATTCATTTTTCGGTGAAAATAAAATTATTTTTTTAATAGTTGGCTAAAGATAAACCCGCGATAACGTAACAACAACAACAAAAAGCAGACAACATTTTATCACAAAAACGATGTTCTTATGAGGTTATGTACTATTCAAGCTTTTCCGATGCAATATGAGCTTTAGAACCCTACCGTTCTCTTTAACATTTTTTGTTTCTAAGCTGATCATTGTTGAGATTAAAACCACTAATTACTAATAGGGTCTCTCGTGTGTGTGTATTATACATCGAAAATAAGTGATTTCACATTTTTTCTTTTAGTTAGTTCTTTATATTGAGTGTTACAACAAACAAAACATACAATTGCTCAATATGATGCAATATCTGGATCCTCACCTGTTGTGGACGATATATGAATTAGACGCCAGTTTTAGACAGGGTTAAGGAAATATAAATGGTAAATTTCAGTTGACACAGGGTACTAGAAAGTTATTTTACAATAACTACTAAGCTTCGAAACAAGAATAAAAATTCTGCCTTTATTACCAATGGAAATCCTCAGTTTGTACTTATATAAAATCTTCCTGTTTATAGAATTTAAAAAAAGATCTTACACATTATCGAACGATTATATTTTGCTTTTTCATTTTTTTACCATAATGTGTTAAGTTATCCATACCTCGGGCCTGTAGTTGTTGAATTAAAGGAGTTTCTGTTAAAACAAGTAAAATTCATCATTGGTTGTCACTCTAACACGAGTCAGGTGACAGTTTAAATTTTATATGCCAGGGCTAATTTTTAATTACGTGGTTATATTACCTCGCATATTTTTGTATGTATGTAAATGAAACATGGAAAGCTCGCTCGTGCTGGAATAATTCCTGTTTTATTCTATGGTTGATGCTTTTCAACCAATAGTCTTTTTTGCGAGAAACACAACTTGAAATTAGTTTTACATTGAACTTCATTCAGAACATTAACAATTATTGAATACGAGGTGTTAAAAATATGAATACAATGAAATCAGTAAGTTCTCTAAAAACATATTTACTAATATACGTCAAGTAAGCTGTTAAAAACTAAAGCTCGCAATGGCACTGATAGTTTATAATTTGTTGTACATATAACTGATTAGTCCATTGGTGTGACAGCGGTAAGTCTAGTGACTTACAACGCTATAATCTGGGGCTCGATTCCCCGCGGTAGATACAACAGATAGCTTTAATATATATATATATATATATACACATATAACCGACTGTGTAGCATTGTGTCTGTATTTTATCCACAGCGTCAATCGCAAAAGATGAGGAAAATAGCACCATAAACTGTAAATACGCACGAATTATGTATGCATATTCCGAAGATAAGATAAGATAAGATTTGGGATTAAAAGGTGAGATGTCATAGTTAAATATTAGTGACACCAAGCTCAGTATACCGTGAAACTTTATTCGTTACTTGCAATTCAAAAATTGTTGGTTTTAGTTAAGAGCACGTGACGTGGATCAACAACACTGTGACGAATATAACGTTAAGAAATTAGCAGGTCATTAATTTTGATGTTTTGGTTTTGACACATATATCTTCCTTATTTGTTTACATTTCAAATATGCATGTTCCGAAAAAAAGAGTAAAATAAACAATACTCACATTTCATTTAACACTAAAATTTACCATTTTTTTTCAGTTTTCTGTCGGAAAGATAAAATGCACATTGACATTCTGACAGACTTATTCAATACCTGGAATCAGATTCCATGTACTTTAAAAATGTTTGAGGACAGATAAGGCAATGAGGTAAAATAGACTGACTATTACTGAAGCGAAGAGCTAGCAACCATCTTGGGTTGAGTTGTGAATATTACAAGAAGAAAATGTTTTTTTTTGTAATTAAACACAAAGCTACACAATGGGCTATCTGTGCTCTGCCCACCACGGGTATCGAAACCCGGATTCTAGCGTTGTAAGTCCGCAGACATACCGCTGTGCCACTGGGGGGGGGGGCAGAAGAAAATGAAACACTTGGTTTTAATTTTTTCAACATTCACATTTTCAATTTCTGCATGACTATTACATCAGTGACACTATTCAAAGCAGAACTGCTGCCGTCAATGATTTCAACTGATGATGAAAGTTTATATGGTGAAAGCGGATAATAGCAATCACATTCACTTAATATTATTCTGATGTCGACATGTACAGTAACAGCAACAATTAGCAAATGATGTCACAAAAGGAGCTCGTACTGATAAGAAAAGATCTTGAAAATGTTGTTGTTTAAAGGAAAGTTACAAATATTTAGTTCGTTGTATGCAAGATTGAAACATTCAATTGTATATATGTGTTATATTATATATATATATATATATATGGTGAAGTAAAACTGACTCAAAACCCATAGAAACATTCAATTGTTACATTTGAAAATTTCATGCACTATTATTGAAATGAATTATAGTATACGTGAATGCACCTAAGAACACTAATACAAAATTTTACGACTGTGGTTTAGATAATTTAATCAACCTGTTTTGAACCATCATGTATGACAATTGACATAAAATAGGTTAGTAACATTAAGTCTCATACTGTGGATGTTTATTGAAGAAAAAAAAGAGTCTAAAAAACTCCTAAAAAGAGTCTTTTTTTAATTTTTAAATACCTTAAAATCACGTGTAAACTAAACTGTATATCCCAGCGGTATGTCTGCGGACTTACAACGCTATAGATACCCGTTTAGATACCCGTGGTGGGCAGACACAGATAGCCCATTGTGTAGCTTTGTGCTTAATTCCAAACAAACAAAATATCCCAGACTTCTGTTAAGAAACAACAAAGGAAAAAACGATGAGTAATTTTAATTATCTTGACATTTGTATTATTCTCGTCATAAAGATATTTATAATTCAAAGATCACCAGTTTAGCTACTTTTCTTTTACGTTCGGTGAAAAATAAATTAACACATTGTTTAACGAAAAATTCTGTAATATAAAGCTCCAGTTTTGTTAGGTGACAGGAAATTTTACAGTAATATTTCATTTTACATATAGCCGATATCTTCCACGTGTGAGCTCACTTCGTAATCATTTAAGTTTGAGCTTTCAAATTAATATTGTAGTATTGCAAGAAGTAATCCAATGATTTATACTGGTTTGTAGGTACTAAAAATAATAAAAAAAGAAAAACAATGATCAGCCTATTTAGATTGAGTATGAACATTTGTCAAACAATGTGAAATAATTGTTAACTTGCTTTCAGACATTTTGGACCAAAATCTTTAGTGTGTATTTTCTATTTGAATTAAATTATTTTAACATTTTTACATATATTTTCGAACTAACAATACAAAAAATTAGTGTTTCCTATTGAAAACATTTGAGTTGATTATTAGTGTTAGAAAATTATTACCAAAATTCGAGAATAAATCTTAAGTATCACGAAAAATTAAAGAAGGCACGAGTAATTGATTCAACAACTCCAAATATAATAACTCAGCTTCTATCATTTTCTGAATAATAAACAATATGTGAAGTGCTTAAAAATGTAAATGTGTTTTGAATTTGACGAGATGCTGCGCCCAATTGCTATGTTCCATATATATATATATAACTTTTGTTATTTTTTTGACATCTGTATAAGATATCTCAAAGTATTCATTTACACTCTGTTCTGTCTTTCCAGAAAGTTCAACAAATAACATGACATCAGTGATAACGTCCACAAACAAGAACCAAAACCATTTATCAGTGGAGCCAACATCTTATTCGTTATTTTCCAAATCATCGTCACTGGAGTCCAACGGAAATTTGAATGTAATCTCGACAACATTATCGCCTTTTGTCCGAAATATGAAATCGTTTCCTTGTCATTCTCCGTTAATTTCCGCAACTCAGAGAAAAAAGAGAAACTCTAAAGCTACTCCTAACGAGTGTAAAGATGAGGCGTACTGGGAACGTCGAAAAAAAAATAACGAGTCTGCTAAACGCTCACGTGCATTAAGAAAACTGAAAGAGTATACAACAACGCAAAAGATCGCGCATTTAGAACAAGAAAATATCACTTTAAGGACAGAAGTGTGTTTACTAAGAAATGAGCTAGAAAAGATGCAAAATATTTTGTTTTCTTACACAAGTGCTACTAACACAAATTAAAGGTGGAATATTTAGGCGCAATAACTGATATATTACATAGTGATATACCTTCGCAATATAATTTAGATGTTCAAAATAGCAAAAGAAAAAAGACAACAACACAGGCAAATGACATTTTATTGAATGACTTGTTCATATTTGTAGTTAATGAAAGACTTATTTATCACTAGAATTATAAGTCTTTAAATCTATTTTTTTAGTTTTAAAAGTTGATGTACAAAAATTAATATTTAACATATAAAAGTTAATTTTTACTAAACAAGTACACCTGATTACTGTTATTTGTGAAAACGTTTATTTACCCACATCTAGTTCCAATAAAGATGTTTGACATCTAACAAATATTAACTTGTAATTATTTTTCCTTTTTTGAGTTATAACAGTCACTATTGTGTTATTATATGTTGTAATCCAGTTTAATGGGATAATAGTAACTTTTGTTGATAGAGTTAATCGAACAGGCTTGAGATCGAATCTTAATTTGTGTGAATATGTTCAAACTCATACCTGACCTGATTTTCTCTTTCACAAACAGCGTTGTAACTAAATTTTTAGATTGTCGTTATTAGTATCAAACAGATCTACAATATGAATTCTTACAAAAAAAAAAGGTAAAACGCTTTATAATCCAAAAAATTTCAATACTATTTTTTTGCAGGATGCTAAGTGTGGTACGCATGGTTTGCTACGAAATTTTATATACAACTGTTAGTACAATCTATTATCTGCATGTCCGATTTAGCTACCTCCCAGGTTTAGACATTTGCTTGCCGCTAATGGACGGAAGCTGAGTTATTTATGCCTTACAATTCATTTCAATGCCGACATCTGAATCCTTCATGATTAAATTTTTGTTAACATTGCATTGGATTTTTGCAACAGATGGCGAGAAAACTGACGATAACATAGAAACAAAACCAGCTCTTACCTTCTCAAAATGAGAATAAAAAACGAATTAATGTCTAAAATTATTTCTGTAAGATATGAAGGCTCAACTATAACTACTGTTTTGAATAGCTTCCTAGAGTTAAGTGTACAGCACATGATTTAAATACAGCCTTAAAAAATAAAGACACGGAAATTTAAACACTCATTATTGCTAAGATGATTAAGAACTGCAAAGCACTGGTAAGGCATCTGAAAAAATCTGATGCAGTGTTGAATTTCAAGCACACAGTCTATGAAGAAATAAAAACTAGACATTTCTCAAACTTTGTATTGTTGTTTGATGAAAAGGAAGTTCAGTGTCACATTATTAGCGCGTGGCCTAACGACTGGAATATTCTTTAAAATTCTAGAATACTTTGAGGAGAATATAATGCGAGTTAATCTAGAGTAGATGGATTACTGAGCTGGTCAGTGAGATAATGAAAGAGTGTTTGTTAGCCAGTGAATAAGCCCGTAACTTGTATACGTTCAGATTTATATCAGTCCTAAATCTATATAGGATGAATTATCGGTGTAGTAAAAAGGAGAATTAAATATGTTGCTTACAGTTAAAAGTTAAATGATCCAATCTATTTCATGTGTTAGTATTGATATTAAACATATAAAAAAAAACTTTTAATTCCTCTGATTTGTTTTTATGAAACTCAAAGTTAAAAACAACCCATGGAGTTATTTTAGAAATAAACGTAATTTGATACTGGTGTAGTGGCTGTTTCCAAGTAATAAAAAATATTGCCAAATTAAGTATGATGTAGGGATGACAATGCCAAAAAGTATAGAAACGAGGTAGGGAGGAATACACAAAACCATACAAACATCATTACATAAGTAACCAAATCTTTCCAAGTGTTACGTCTCCGTTC